GTCGTGCAAGTGCAGAACAGAGAAAAGGAAGAGCAGGTTTGTTTCATGTGTAAAAGTTTAAAAAATTTTTTTATATAAGACATATTGTGTATATACATATGTCAAAATAGCTTTGATGTGTGGCCTAGAAATGTAACTTAAATTGCTAACATACCTGTTAGAAAGTTAGTTGCCTATCCTTTACAGGATGTTGCAGAACCAACCCCAGCATTTTTTGGCTGTTGTAGTTTTTCTAGGCAAATGTTACATTCAGTAGTTTGGCATTGCTCTCTGAATGGTCATCTGTTGGCACCACTGTTGAAACCAATGCAAGACAACCCCTCTGCAGCCGGGATCAAACCCAGCACACTGGCACAGTGGCCGACAACATAGAGTATACCTGTACCAAAGTGGTTTTGAGGTATGACGTTGACTCAGAGTGTTAACATTCATTTTACTTCAGCTGTCATAGGGGTTAGATGTGTGACATTGAATTTTAACTTAAAATGTTAACGTTCATTATGTGAACACGTGTCAAAGTTGCTTAGAGGTATGGCAGTCATCTGTAACTTTGAATGTTAGCAATAGCTTCAATAATCTCATGAGGTATTTCAGATATTTAAGAATTTCAGTTACACTAAGTGTAGTTTTGCAATTTGGTAAAAATTTCTGAACCATTTGAAATTGTGCACTATATAAGTAAGCTTAGTTGACTTTCTTACTCACTTAATTTGTTGATCCTCTTCTTTCCTGGTGTGTAGAATGGCCAGAGAGATCCACCAGACTTCTCTGTAGGCATTTTGTGTGTGTGTGGCTTTGTTCCATTCCAGTCCTCAGTCACAGATCTCATATGTTGTCTGTCCAGCAAACTCTGGGTCCTTCTGGAGGTCTGATTCCCTGGTTCTTTGCCTCCCATGATGGCTGATTCTCTCTCATTCTGCATAAATGTCCAAACCATTGAAACTGTCACAATGTAAGCAGATGTAAGTAAATGTCCCATTTCTACACACGGAAGTTTATTGCTGATATGGGTCTAGCCCCTTTTGTTTATAGAGCTTGAAAACTCAATGAATGATATGGTCACTATAAAGCTGGCTGCCTTTATGGTACACATTTTAGGCAGGGTCAACCTTTGAGCCCAGGCTTAGAGCAATGGTAAATTGTCTATGGGTAGAATATGTCGAGACCGGCCTTGACTACGATATAAAGATGCCTGCAAGTGGGACATAAATGGTATTTGTACTGAGGTAGATTTTTGGAAACGAAATGACATGGACCAAGTTAAATGGAGAGGAAAATCAGGAAGGGGGTAGAAATATGGGAGGGGGGGGGGGGGGAAATGATGACAGAAAGGTTGAGAGCTTGGCGTCTGAGAAGAAACACAATAAATACAGGTGATGGCAACAACTGTAGGGAAATCTTCTTCTTTGCGTTCACCAGCTGTAAACTCTGGTGTCAAGTTCTGGTTGTTCGTCCACTTCTGGACTGCAGGCCTGTTCCAGAACCTGAGTTTCTGTTTGACAGATCTGACACATTTGTGTGCAGACTGTTGGTTCCTTGCCTCTCGGGCAGATTCACTCCGGCTTCGAAGGAAGCTCCCAATTAGTCGACTCTTACAACATGCTTTTTTCTTGTTTTCCCTATAATAGGGCACTGGAACCCACAGGGATAGGGGGGGGGGGGGGGGAGGGGGGGGGGGGCCTGAAGTCAAAATTCCAAGCTCTAATTGTGGAAAACTTCTTTACCAAGACAGGTCTTGCTAGTCACACTCGCCATCACCATGGACTGTGATTCCTGTGCATCCACATAGCACAGTATAACACTATCATCTGGAAAAATGGAAAGATGCCACCAGTAACAACTTTAAAGCCAGTCCATTATTTTATCTGTCCACATGAAAATTGACCCCCGTGATGACCAGCTGGCAGGCACTCAAATAGCCTCTGTGCTGCAGTGCCTTCTGGTGCACTGTAATCCTGATCAACAAATGATGATGCTGGATGTATCGGCCGAAAGGCACACATGTAACAGCTACAATGGAAAGTCCCCCTTAAAAATGTTTTGGGGTAAACAAAGAAATAAGAAGAAAAGGCATACTAATAAATAAAAGTGTAGTGGCTGATGCACTTGAGACCAGCACAGTAGTTTGAATCTCCACCAGCAGCATGGTTGTACTGTGTTTAGATCTGTCAGACTCAACACTCGGTCCAACCTCATAATACAAGCAGTATTGTTTGATTAATGTTCAACCTCACCAGGACATCACACCGAGCGATAAACACCCAGTGACACAAAGTGCCACCATTTGGATGAGGATCACTTGGGGACAGGTCCCAGAAACCCCATTCAACCGTCGTAGGGGTTATAAAAGGGTCCCCGACAACAGCCGGGATTGGGCTTTAGAAAGCACACACACACAAAAAGTACCCTATGTTGGGATGGCAATGTGTGTATGTACAAGTAATAGTGACTTATGTGAAGGAAAGATAGCAGAGTAATGAACTGGTTACCACACCTCATAATACCATACTTGTCACTGCACTGGTGTCTTTATGCAGTTACCAGTTATTTTACATTTTATTTACATTTAGGTCGTACAGGGCCAGGTGTATGCTTCCGATTGTACAAAGAGTCAGATTACAATGACTTTCAAGACTATACCACGCCGGAACTGCAGCGAGTGACCCTGGACTCACTCATTCTACAGATGATCTCCCTTGGACTTCCTGATGCCAGAAAGTAAAATTAACATTGCATTTTTTTCTCTTTTTTGTTTACTGGCTGTAAGCTCCGATAGAAAGTCCTAGTTGTTAGTTGATTTGGACTTCGACTTTGTGCCAGGGCCTGAGTTTTGCCGGTGCATCCATTTTACTAGCTTATTTGTGTGCAGTTAGTTGTTCTTGCTACTTGGACAGATGCATTCGGACTTCGAAGGAAGCTCCCACTTAGTCGACTCTTACAGTTAGCTTTTGTGTGTGTGTGTTGGCAGTGGTTGTTTTCCTCACAGTAAGGTGCTGGAATCCACATGGGGTCGATTGAATCTATAATCTGCCTAACAATTCTGATAGTTTTAAGTTAATTATTTGCAGTTTTATTATGTGTACCTTTATTGTGATGACCCTGCTTTGCATGGTCTCCACGAGTACATTGTAGCAAGCAGGAAGTCTGTGCTACAAGTGACGGCACGAGATACTTGTGGCTGGGGGAGTAAGCGAGGGGAAGCCCGAGCTAGTCTCGTGGTCAGTGGATCATGAGAAGTCAGAGAAGACGGTTGTGGTAATGGAAGATACCGTTTTTATGTCGCGCGAATGGTTAGTGTTGGAATATGTCGCGAGTGATAAAGTGTGAATAATTGTTTGAACATGTGAAATAAATGGACCAGAATAAACTGACAGAATGTACAATGAAGCTGAGTGGCGTTAGTGTTGTCAACCCTAGACGTTGAAGTCGGTGTAAGCCAAGGTTCTTTCCAAGGTGCAAACCACGCTTTATTCCAAGTGAAGCATCGACTCATTCCAAGTTGAATCAGAATCATTTCAAGATAGTTGAAAGCGTAACTTCAAGTATACGTTTTGGTTCATTTCATTTATATACATTAGAAAGCAGCCATATTTTTTTTTTTAGATTGCAGACTGGACTCTACAGACTTTGCAGCAGTGTGTACAAGAAATTCAAGTTTGGGAACTTAGAATGTTGCCCATATGGACATGCACCACAAAATACTGCAGTAGAAAGTTTGCATTCAGGCCAAACCAGTCTGTATAGATCAGTGGAGGACATTTGCCACACCACAGCCCTTGTAAAGGCCAGCGGCCTTCTCATTTAAAAAAAAAAACTGGCAAGGAGAATAAAAATAGAAGATTTAAAAAACAAATTATCCTTACTTGGTTTTGAATGTATGGAAATCATTTCTACATATAGAAAAGGTAGTAAATATAATGACAAACAAAGCCTTATTTAATATATTGTGATCTTAGTTTATAATGATTCTCTTGCCACAGGTTTCCTTTCATAGAGGCCCCAGATATGTCCAGTTTAGAGAATTCCATCATGTTCCTAAAGGAACAGGGTGCCCTAGGAGCTGATGAAAGTTTGACCCCAATAGGTCAGATGCTGTCTATGCTGCCAGTGGATGTTGTTATTGGCAAAATGCTGATTATGGGATCCATTTTTAATGTAAGTTTTGTAGAATCTATACACTATTTTCATAATACATATGTAGACTCACGAATGCTGTTCAGTCATTCTGTCTGAAGCTGTCGCCTTGATGAAGGTTGGTTTCAATGGATCTTCAGTGATCTCTTTCTTGTGCCATGATTGCACCTTCTTTTAGATAGCTGTTTGTCCACATCTTAATGATTATGATACTTATATCCCTCTCTTTCTCTTGCTCACTGGCCTTCATCTTTTCCTTTCAGTAAAGTTCTTATACAGACAATACATTATGCTCTTGAAACCCGAGCCTTTCAAACTAAAGCAAATCAGTCACAGTTATGATGGTTTGGGAATGTATGCAGAATTGGAGAGCATTGTCCACAGCCACAGATATGGAAGGCTAAGAACTAGGAATCAGACATGCAGGAACACCCCAGGAAAGACAATATCCGATAGTCTCTGACTGAGGACTGGATTGCAACAAAGCCATAAAGAAAACTGCTGACAGAAAGAAAAAAAAAGCGATCTCTCTGGCAGAACTCTACACCCAGGGTAGAAGAGGATCGAATACGTAAGTAAGTAAGCAACAAATGTTGCAGAGATGGGTTAGATGCAGTTTCATGTCGTTTGCTAGTTGTGTAGCGAGTGTTAATGTACATTTCTGTAGTGTCTTACTCCCTCCACTTGTTTCTTTCTTGGTCTGCCTTTTCCCTTACCCTGCTATTCTTATATAGTACTCTAGCTGCTGGCTGATTTCATTTCATTATGACCATATGATTCTTTGATGTTCTGAGAAATCATTAACCTATTCTGAGACTATGGCTACAATATGTATCTAATTTTCTTTCATTTGTTTGCACTTACAGATGATAGATCCCATTTTATCAATTACTGCAGCCATGAGTGTTCAGTCTCCATTCACCAACAGAGCCTACACAGACAGTGATGCAATTGTGAGTAAATATGTATCCTTTGTTGCTTATGAAATCTCTGTAAATATCCCCGTATAATGTGTATGAACAATTTTGATAAGTTAAATCATAATGCTGAAATCTCCTTATTAGCCATTTTTTAGGGAAGCTCCTTTGGTTTTGTTATGTTTCACATCACAGTGAAATAATAGCATCACAGTGAAATAATAATAGTTTTACTCTTTTTGCGCACTCACGCACACATACAACACAACTCCCAATGCAACACACACACATATAGACACAAATAAACACACACATACACACACACACATACAGATAGATAGAGAGAGACCATAAAGATACTTAGTCCTTAGTCTGATTTTGTTTCTTGCTAATCAAGCTACTTGCCTGACTAAACAGCAGTCTATGTTCCATCTTAGATGCTGCAATCACTCTGAGAGCACCAGGCCTTCATTAGCCTGTATAATGACATCATCGAGTGTGAAGGGCAGACATCTATCAAAGTGGATACCAAGATATTAAAGGTCTAGTGACCTTTCCATATCATCTTCACACATAGGCATGCGCATCTTGAAAGCTCTGTTGTTCAGTGAGAACCCTGTTACTCCCTGGGGTAAGAGGGAAGGAACGAGCAGATTGGCTTGTTGGCAGGGCCATGGTATGAAAAGGGAAAAACAGTAAACTGGGCCGGCATTCTCAATGCTGTCAAGGAAGCAAGAGGTGCAGATGATTTAGGAGATGACGTTAAATCTGCAATACTCAAAAGACTACAAGAACTTCAGGTCAAAAGAACATGAACATTATACAGGTAGCCAAAGAAGAATTGTAAATGAACACAGAACTGGTGTTATCAGTCGCCAGATATTGTGGGATATATTAAAGATTGGATTCTAGCACTTATGGACTTTTTTGATGCTCAATGAGGCTAATCTGTTGATTAACTAACTAACTAGCCATGTTACTTAGGCCAGCGGGGATTACTCTAGGCCCTGATTCCTCACACCATCTGTCAGTCTGTCAAGTTCCTGCTGCAGTGCTTTAGCTTTCTTCTCTCAGTCTACCCTGCTATTACTAAAAAGATTATAGTATGTTAAGGCTTTCATGTATTTCTTATTAATGTTTTTTTTTTGGGGGGGGGTGGGGGGGGGGGGGGAACTTGGTGGGGGTTGAAAACTGAAGCTTATAATTGTTTAAAACTGAAGATGTCAGTCGAATGCATTCCAATATTTGTAACTAATATTTAATTGGTTTTGATGATGTTTATTTTATGCAGCCTGTAAGACTTACATCATTTTTGGAACAGGCTTATTATTATACTCTTTAAAACGTTCAAGTAATGTCAGTATAAATTAGAGCACATTCCAGCATTTGTAATTAAGACTTAGATATTGTAATTTTCTTTTCTCTTCTCTTTTTTGTTCTGTTTCTTTTCTAAATTTCTCAGATTTTTAATTGTGCATTCCTCTTTTTATTATTATTATTATTATTATTATTATTAACTATAAAATGAGGTAAAAATGAAGCATTGTATGAAAGAAACGGATTGGAAGGGCAGAATGTTAGACGGGCCTGCGTGCCCAATTCTTAACCCTTTGAAAATAAAGTTTGTTCATTCATTCGTTCGTTTGTTCAGTACATCATCGGCAAAGGACGTAGTTTATTTCAGTCCCATATTATGGAGGCATATGACCCGTTTACACATTATATAGAACAGGGGCAACAGTGACCCCTGAGGTAGCTCTGACATGATGGTCCGCTGCTTCAACATCCATGTGCTGCACAGCTCATCTTTGAGAAAGCATGACCTTGCATGCTTATCAGCAAGGCCGTGATGATTGTAGTGATAACTGTCATCTCTTCAGTATGATTTTGAGAATAGAAAACTTATGCTGCAGGACAGAATTTTATTTTGTGGTCATTTCCACCTCAGGCTGCTAGAAAACCCCTGGAGTCAGTACATGGTGACCCGTTTACTCTGCTGAATGCCTTTGATGAGTGGATTGAGGTAAGGACACTCATATCTAGCCATTCATTATGTGCCTAATTACTAGTTTTGCATGAGATTTGCAGTGAATATCATGTGCAGTTAGTACGAGTTGTACACAGAACAGCAGAATTACTCAGATGTAAAAGGTTTGGTCTCTCAAACCTGGAGACATCAGCTTTCAACCCTTTTAACTCTTTTTGTTTGTTTGTACCAGGCAGGTTATTGTTACAACCAGCAATTATTTTGGACACAAGACCATACTTATTTTGCTTTATCTTTGTATGGTTTTGTTTGTGTGTTACACAGTTAATATCCAGTCAAAGGATTGAAGATACTGAAATGGATATTCCCTGTGTAGGTTCCGTGGCCCCATTGGGGGGAGGGGTGGGGGGGAGGGGGGTAAGAATACACTGCCCTGTAACAAGCATGCCATATAAGCCAACTAATTGGGAGTCAGCTGCAGTAAGATGTGTTGGGCTAAAAGGTGCAGATACCTCAGTTTAGCTGCACACCACAACACATGGCAACTGCCCTTCTAAGGCGAAGACAGAAGAAGAAGATATGAATATGTTGTATCTGTTTCTTTTTCTTTGTCTTTTGACCAGGTACATTTTACTTAAGCTTGTCACCTTCTTCATTGAGTGTTATACATGTTTTTTATTCCATTATCTATAAGCTTCACATTCGTGCCTTTTTATTTGTAATTTTATACTCACTGATTTAATGCTTATCAACATTTATCTTATGTTTATGTTGCTCGATTTAGGGATTTGTGTTCTTATGATATATTACCCTGTCACACAAGATCTGGAGGGCTCGCATGTGCCTCAAGACAAGCTCCGATCTGAAGCACCCTATGCACCACAGGCTCTTTAGGAAAAAGGGCATTAAACTAAATGGCTGGGCAGGGCAGAGGATGACATCAAGCAGGTCTGCAGTCTAACAGACACCCAACTTGGTGAGGAATGGATACCAGTGCCTACAACACCTTATCTCACCTTCTCCTGTGTTGTCACGTTTGATAGGAATTGCTGGAGCAGAATCCCGTTGCTGTCAGCATCGATGTCTGCGCACTTATGAGTGACAATCAGATGAGACAGATCGGCTGATCTTTACAGATGGGTCCGTTATACGAGGACATAAGAGTGTGTAGGCATTTACAGCCCGATTTTCAGACAGAACAGTCTATGAAGCCAGCGGTGCCTTCTTCATGACTACCAGCAACATAATGATGGAAATATTGGCTGTGACACAAGCTTTCAAATGGCTAGAATCACAGGACTATTTCCACACATGTGTGTGTGCTGACTGATTCTTTAAGTGTTATACAGCAGGTCGAGGCAGGCTGACAGTGGTTTAAGTGACTGCAGAACTCTCCTGTGTGTGCAGTTACCTTCATATTTGTCCCAGGGTATGCAAGTGTTTTTTGGCAATGAAAGAGCTGATAGATGTCCAGGTTCTGCATTAATTGCAGATGGTCGGCCCATGGATCACACAGACATTGTCAATGCCCTTAGAGAGATAGGAAGTTTTCGAGGATTTTGGAAGCACATCATTGCTAAGAATACGAGAAATGGGAGTAAAGATCCGCACAGCCAAGCATGAGAAACACACTGGACGCACACACAGTCTTGTCAACCAGCCTAGGACTAGCACTATTACCTGGGCGGTGTTGTTGAATATTTTGAAGAGGGAATCTCAGCACCTATGGATGTTTTTGGAGTGCTGTGAAGATAATCCAACTTATAACTCATAATTAATTTGTCATACATTAGTTTCTTTGACATAAAATCTCTCTCTCTCTCTCTTTCTTTCTCTCTCTCTCTCTCTCTCTCTCTCTCTCTCTCTCTCTCTCTCTCTCTCTCTCTCTCGCTCTCTCTCTCTCTCTCTCTCTCTCTCACACACACACACATACACACACACACACCTGTGGGCGTATTATATCTTCTTCTTCTTTCGTTTGCTTGAAATATATTATCTATATCTTCAGTGCTCTCTCTAGCATGAACTTTACTGTCTGTTGTAATTCTCGCAGCGACCCTTAAAGTTTTGCTTGCACCGGTGTTTCTCTTGGCCAAAAGTATATCTTCTTCTTCTTCTTCTTCGCGATTCACCAGCTGTACACTCTGGCGGAACGTTCTGGTTGCTCGTCCACTACTGAACTGCAGTCCTGCTCCAGAACCTGAGTGTTGCGTGTGCATCAGTTTTACAGATCTCATTCTCTTGAATACAGACTGTTGGTTCCTTGTCTCTCCGGCAAATGCACTCAGACTTCAAAGGAAACTCCCCAATTAGTCGACTTCTACGACATGCTTTTGGGGAGGCAGTGGGTCTATTCTTGTTTTCCCCACAATGGGGCCCTGGAACCCACATGGGGGGCCAAAAGTATATGTATGTGTGTGTGTGTGTCTATGTATGTGTGTGTGTGTGTGTGTATATAATGTAAACAACTGGCCTCTGTGGCACATAACTGTATTTTGAAATATGTCGAATGACTGATCTGTGTCATGTACGGTGATATATTATTATTACAATAGGTTAAAGCACAAGGTCTAGGAACACGTGTATGGAGTCGACGTCGAGCTTTAGAGGAACAAAGATTCTATGAGATGACTAAATTAAAGAGACAGTTCAGGGATTTGTTGAAGGCAAGTAACATTTTGATGATTCTGATAAATTGTTGGTGGGATACATATTACCCATCATTTATGAGTTAGGTACTTAGAAGTGAACTTTCTTTTGTTTGTCCAAGTGACGTCAAATGGGGTAATTGCTGTTTAAAGCAATGTTGGGATATTTTTGCCTTTCGGCAGACACACCGACTTCATTTAGCATTTATTGACCGGGTTAACATCCCGGTGAAATTGAATAAAAAAACTCTGGTGTAGGTCTTTGATCTTTTAAATAAGTTCCTTGTTCAAAATGTAATAACACTAAATAAAATGTGAAGAAAAAGCAAATACACAATACCCCTGGCTTGTAAGCCTCCATATTTTGTTGATATTGCTCTTTGCTAGTCTAGCAGTGCTGCAAAAGGACCCTTTTTAAATCATGCTGTCTCATATACCATATTCATAAAATAAAAACTATTCAGTCATCACAGTGTGCATGTTAGATGGGACCACAAACACCTGAGCACATTCTGCAGGCCTGCCCACTATTCTTACAGCTACGAAGATACGCCTTGCCTTAAGAGTAAAATATGCTGAGCAAACTATGGGGAACCATGAGGGACCTGCAGTTGACATTCATAGAGGCAGCATATCTGCCTTGATCATACACAAAAAAGAAAAAGAATCATGAGAAACCCGACATGGATTCTTGTCACTGACCTCTAATTGACCTTGATAGTACGTGGCTCGCTGTGTGGCCCTATGACAGACGATCTAACCTAAAACACTATGAAACCGGACACCCAGGGAGCACACATGACAGTCTCTAATGTAAATCGCAGATAAACAGTAGGACAATTGACTTACCACTGTGTGGGCACCAATTACCTGAAACACCGGCTGTGCTAGCTCTACATTCACTTGACATGCCACTTGGTTCTTATGGACAACTTCCAGGTCAGCAAACCATGCCTATCTGGATATGTTCTTTTCTTTTGCTACTGGACCTCAGCAGGATTACATGGCGCCTCTCGAGTGCAGGGCCAGTGTGCAGAGGATAGATATCATCACAAAACCATATCAACACCCAATTCTTCTTATCAGAATACTTAAACACTACTTATGCAATAAAAGACAACACAACACTTGTCGCTGCTGGATGCTGCATAACACAGAGAAGCTATACTATCATAACGTAACACTTAACACAATCTATCTAGTCACTAAATTATTATTCTAACATTCTACTCTGTCCAACTAATCATTTCTCCTGTCTTCTGTCTGAATCCTGAATGTTGAATCTCCTTGTCCCACAACCTCGTGGCTTTTTGTCACAGTTCATGAACTCTGTCTCGGCTCTATAGAAAGCATGGCCTCATCAGTGGAGCATTCAATTCACCAAAACAAACCCGCCCAGTCACACTTTGTCTCAGTCAACTATAACGAAATGAACTATAGTTTACACACATACATGAAACAGTCATGATTACACTTTGATGATCCGTCCATCAACTCAGCATTCTGTATGCACACACAGTCCACCGTCTCTGTGGTGTGTACCGACCCATGACTGTTAAGACAGGGTTCTGACATTGAGGGGGAAGGGGAGCGGAGGTACACTGCCGCCAAACAAGCACAGTAAAATAGTTGTGGAAGTCATGTGAGTTGGCACAGAAATTACAGCCTAGATGTAAACCACAACACAACATGCCAACCACCATTTTAAGAGTGAGCGCTGAAGAAGAAGTATCATGAGAGGTAATTATGCAGAACCAGCTATGCATCCATAGAGAATGAAACTAAAAAGATGGGGAAAACATGGGAAGAGCTGCAGGCAATAGCAAAGGATAGGACGAGTTGGTGTAAGTTGAGTTGAAGCCCTGTGCCCCATGGGGTTTAGAAGGCAGAAGAAGGGATACAAAGATATCTGTTGAAATGAGAAGTAGAACTAGTGACTTCACATTATCCTAATCATGAAAGTTGCATCTAGAAACCCTTCATCGGCAAACATATGACACAAAGGACAATATAGCAGTAACCAACATGAATACACAAAACAGTGTAAATTACGTATGTAGTTCAACGATAGTCTCCCCAAACAAAGTAGGTAGTTTTCGTTGACAAATTTGTTGGGCTGGTCTACTTTTCTGGAAGTTACAGATGTGTCCCATTCTCTTGTTTGGTTTCCTTGATGTCTTACATACCTGTGACATAGGTTTTAGCACTCTCTAAGGGGGTTGTGTTAGACCCAGTTTGTCCATGTTTTTGGAGTGTTAAAAGCGCTGCCATGCTGAAATATAGAACACGCGATATCAAGGTTGTTGCGTAAAACCTCCTTCACTTTATGGCAAGGTAACATGGCTCAAGGTCGACTAATCAGAAGTGAGCTAGGCTGAAGGTCGACCAATCAGATGTGAGCTAGTGTGTAAGAGTGTGTGAGTGGGGAGACTAGCGTCGAACTAACCTACCACATAAGTGAAGAGCTCTCCCAGAAATATCCATAACACATAAGAACAGTAGAAATCTGGTTTTATTAAAATATTTATATTAATTTTTTTGTGACTTGTACTTTTTGTTTAGGACCATCACCTGTTGGATGGTGGCGTTAGCAGACAGCGATACCTGACCAGTGATGAAAGGAGACAAATGCATGGAGAAAGGAAGAGACTAAATGAATTGAAAAAGCAAAAGATGAATGAAAGGAAAAAGAGGAAAATTCTAACTCTTGAAGATGAGGTTTGTACCCCTTCTGAAACTGTTTAAAATTAAATTTCAAATGTATGGTGATAAATATTGATGTTATACACTAAATTGAATGTCTTCTTTAAACGCTAATGTGGAATTCTGACTCTACAGATTTAAAAGGAAAATACTTGTTTATTGTTATCATAAAAAAAATAATTTAAAAAACAATCTGGTAATCTGGTAATCCTAGTTTCAGCTGGGCGACGAAACTATATCTTTCCAGTCTACAAATGGAGCAAAAATGCAACGGCCACCGTCTGGCAGGAAAAAAAAAGGTGGCCGTGCCTAGCGTCCATTTTGATCTGAAGCATTATATGAGGGTTAATAAACGGTCACCCCAGCAGTACCGTCATTATTAGCTGGGGAAGGGACTTAGGACATTACATCCACCAGCAAGGCGTCGCCCCTACAACGATCTGCCTGCCTTCGTTAATGACTGTTCACCCAATAGCCATGCAATTCTTTGGCACGAAGGAGACACCTTGAACTTGGGTTTCGGACTGCCTACTCCCTACAAGATGTTATTTTATGTTTTGTTATTACACTTGAGAAACAAACAAACATACAAATGAATAGCAAAATCAGAACAGATGAAAAATACACAGAAGCTACAAAATAAATTAGAAAAACGATAAGGGCAGATAAAAGACAATATCTAGGTGGCCTTGTAAGAGATAAACAGCAAAAGCAGAAAGAAACCTATGAGACGTTAATAGCCTCACAAGGAAAATAATAGGTAATAAACCCTGACCAGATGGATAGATCAGAGATGGCAGTGAGAAAGTTCACATGAACATTAAAGATAAAATGAACTAAAGAGCTGAACATTTTGAGGATCTTCTTAAAAAACCAGTTCCGTGACTCAGCTAACACCCCCACCTCCACCCCCAGCCCTGGAATTTGTGCTTGTTTACTGTTTATCTCTGGGCTCCCATGTCAGTACAGTCAAAATTGCAAACCAGGTAATGTCCTGGGAAGTAAAGGTAGCTTTTGACCAAATCACCCAACATGTGCTGACTGGCCTGTAAACATATAGGTCTAGCACCACTATATGCCCGATGCGCCGAAGGCATGATAAAGATCCTTCACTTTTATTTCTCTAGGATTCACCGCTATTAAAAGTATGCAGAATTCATATCACATTTTTTGTGATGGTTCCATTGGTTAGATTTTTGTTTGTTTAATATTAATCTTCAGGTTCAGCACAGAACACTGTGTAGTGTATCTTCCTAAAATTTATTACCAAAGCTGCATCCTGCAACTTGGAGAACTTGAGCTAACAGCATTGCACATCCCAAAAGACTGCCCAGATTTGACTAAACAGAATGCAGACCTGGCCCTCAGAAGCAAGAATACATGACAAATGGTAGAGAACCAATGAAGACCTCAGTGCCCCTATCATGTTCCTGTTGCATAGAATAGACACAGCTTGTAATAAAGCACATAACCCCCAATGCTTACATGATTATATATGCCATAATGAGCTTCCTGGAGTAGAAATAGCTGTATTACAAACCAGCTGGGATCCCTGATGTCCCAGTCAATGACAGCAACAGGATAGTGCATATCAAAGTCTACAGTAGACTGGCAGAAGACACTTGTAAATGTATAAGGTTTTATTCACTGCTCCAAGATGTTTACCGTCCTCTGTCTCATTCTATCAGTGGTTGGACAACAGGCCCTCAACTCCTCATCAGAACATCAACACTGGTATCATTACTTACATCATATATTTTCCTATCAGCAAACATTCCCTTTCAAGCTCAGAGATGGTCAGCATCAACATTCTTCCATTGATTATGTTCATCACTGCTATGTCATCTCAGCTGCCATTTTGCTGTAGGCTTCTTGAGTAGATTTCACTTACGGTTGCACAATTCATAATGACTTGCGATCCATCCAGGTGCCAAATAGAGTGATTATAAGTTCTTTCACCATTTCAATCATCCGTTCAGTTTGCACTCATTTTTATAACATCACTGAGTTATTTCTCATGCTGCACAATCGTCACATCCAACCTCATGTTTGTCTTTTCTGACCAGGATGTTTTATGCTAACTAGCTGTTTACCTAATATGTCGTAAAGTATATCATTACATGTGCCACTCAGAGCAGACATGAAAGTTTGAGGTTTAAACAACAGATCAACATCATGGCACACAGTTAGTAACCCATAAGTGCTCCGTTCTTCCTCCAACTCAAGTCTGAGTCTGAAGAAGCTCAGCACAGTGCACAGGCTCTGTAGTACACCTGTGTGGATCCTAAAATACTTTGTTTACATTTTTAACTCTATATTTTGAACGGGCAGCGTCGTTAGGCTACTCTTTTCAATTTCCAACTGCCTAGGGATTTTTTATATGCGCAGCAATACACACGGGCATCCTATCTCACTACCCAGAGACCAGGGGAAATTACTAGAAGTCCAGGTCCACATGAAAAAATTCCAGCCCTTACCAGGGGTTGAAAAGTATGTATGAGCATTATTTATTTTAGTACAGCTTACAGTTTTGCCAATATCCTTAATGTTCTTTGATTGAACTGGCTTTTTTAATACTTTATTAACAGGATTTCAAGATAAGTGACGATGAGCAGGATGAGGACAAAGGTGATGATATCAAAGATTTGGAATTTCGTCTTTCTAATGATCTCAATCAGTTACAAGTATGTGTTGCTTAATTCTTCAATTTGAAAAGAAAAATTGTCATTTGTAAAAGGTGTGCTAATTTAAATAATGAGAACACAATTTATTGCCAATTTTTATGTGGCTGTTGTGGTTTTCTAGGCAAATTTTATGTCTAGTACTGTGCCATTGCTTTCTGAACGGTCAGCTTTCAGTATCACTATTGAAACCAATGCAAGATAAACCATCCGCAGTGGGAATCAAACCCAGCACCCTGGCATTATGAAGCTCACTTGCATCGCATAAGCCACAGATGCCGACACTACAGTATTTTCGATCAACATAAATTGAAACACTGAATACATTCTTTTAGCTACAATGCACAAATCACAGTCGGTTGTTACACTGTACATCTTTCCATAGAAGTCTTGGATTAAGCGTGTTATCATTATGTTTATGTAACAGGGGATAGTTTACAGCGAAATGTGCCATCATTGTGTTTATGTAACATGGGACAGTTTACAGCAAAATGTGCCATCATTGTGTTTATGTAACATGGGACAGTATACAGCAAAATGTGCCATCATTGTGTTTATGTAACAGGGGACAGTTTACAGCGAAATGTGCCATCATCGTGTTTATGTAACAGGGGACAGTTTACAGCGAAATGTGCCATCATTGTGTTTATGTAACATGGGACAGTTTACAGCAAAATGTGCCATCATTGTGTTTATGTAACATGGGACAGTATACAGCGAAATGTGCCATCATTGTGTTTATGTAACAGGGGACAGTTTACATCGAAATGTGCCATCATTGTGTTTATGTAACATGGGACAGTTTACAGCAAAATGTGCCATAATTTTGTTTATGTAACATGAGACCGTATACAGCAAAATGTGCCAGACAATAAATTGTATGTGTTTTAATTCACAATAGGGAAACATTGTTTTGAGAAATGCTAATGTTTGTAACATACTGTAGCTCCTGTCCTCGTAGATTTTATTATCATCTGTATGAAAGATTGCATTAGCTTTCCTTATGACTGCAGTAGCGTATATGTAAAATTGTAACTGCTTGTAAACAAGATTCTGCCTCTGACAATGACTAATTATTTTAAATGAAAGACTGTAGCTGTAGCTGACTGAACACAAGATTGTATTTATTACTGCCTCTCAAAAATTGGTGCTACCTGCAAAAAGAAAACAACTCTTGCAAAAAAGCATAGAAAATAAGGCCTTTCCTCTTACACCATAATTGCAACTGCACCTTCTGGTGCTAGAGAATCAGCAGCACAGAATAATGTGGAGAAAACTTAAATAACCAAGTATCCACTGTGTAAGTGGACAATTTGCAGTTAAGCATTGCAAGTTACTTGTCTAGACAGCCAGTAATTGCTGTTAGAGGCAAAGTTTACAAATCACTAGCTGAAGCCAAAAGAAACTGCCATTGTGGAATGAATGAATTCTTTAAGTATGCCTGTAATTAGAAAAAAAAACCTTACAAATTATCTGCTGTGTGTATGAGCTAATCCTCAGAGCTGTTGTATAGCAATAACTAGCATATCAGTAACTGTAGAGTTAGTAGTTACATGTTTGAATCTTTATAGAGGCAGGTTCCCCCCAATTTATCAAGCTAAAAAAAGGTATGAGGACATTTATTTGCTGGAAGTAAAACTGGCTGACGAAATGCTGATTACCTCATCATAGTACTTACTGGCTTTCTGAATATGGGGTTAGCACTATACCCAGCATGAACAATTGAATATATATATATATAAGTGTTTGGTATTGAGTGTAACATACACAAGCATAGGGAAGTGGGGGGGGGGGGGGGGGGAACTAATTCCTAAAACTGCCGCCTGAAAAACTGCCATTATTGTCTGTATTTATCACTTCTGCAGTAAAGGCGGGGAAGTCTTTGAGCCTTAGGATTTAGGGCTGCATGGCTAGTGCTGTTACCATGCACTGTGCAGGTTGGGATTTTTTCTGTGTGCCCCTGAACCTCACAGAGGATTCCAGCATGGGTCTCCCTTATGAAAGCTGTGCATTCTTAACCGCTCGGCTAGTTGTTTGAATAATTACTAATCACTGTGAAAATTTGTTTCATGTGCAGGAAACATCCAATCAGAGTCGCAGCTTCACACTCAGAGACATTAACTTGATCAAGATCATTTTGTGTAGTGGATTATACCCACAGGTGGCTATTGCTGATGACTGCAACACTTACAAACGTGATTCTGAGCAGGCTTTCCATACGCGGGTATTTATTAGTTTGAAAAATTGGTAAAATGAAAAGTTTATGTACTATGCTAGGTTTAGCCAGGAAAAATCAACCTAGGAATGATGGTATTCGGAGGAGAATTGGCACAGAAGCAATACTGAACTTTATAGGTAGACAACAAATCAAATGGTTTGGCCATGTAACAAGATTGGCAGCAGACAGGGCACCACGGAAAGCAATGTTATGCAGATACAATGGTAACAGACCCAGAGGTCAACCACGCGGAAGATGGACCGCAGAAATATCAGATACACTGTAATGTACAAATACAATGCGAACAGAAGGGCACATTCTAGAGATCTCTCTCTCCCCTGACGGCACGAAGCATTCCAGGAGTAGAGAAAATAAGAAGAAAAATTGTTCCTATATTTAAAGTTGAAACTTCTGTTTTTTGCCGTCTGAAAGTTGCTGGGTAGTCTAATCTTGTCAACCTTTATGTGTTCTTATGAATGTATTGGTTTGATAAGTTTAGTTTGATAAAGTTTTAGGATCTGTTTAGAAAATATGTTCTGCTGAATCTGTTTTATAAAATTTCTTTTATAAGATCTCTTTTATTTAAGTCTTTTAAATTTTATCTGTTTTATTGAATCTGTTTGATAAAATTTATTTATTAAATCTGTTTGTGTGAATCAATTTGATTAAATTTGTTTGATTAAATAAATGGACAAAGCACATGCAGAAATGTCCCGAGTGCAGTGATGTCAGTTCTTGATTCGTTCACTCATCCATTTACATTTATACTTACATTTTCCAGAACAAACCATTTGTCCTACTTCACCCAACAAGCATCTTTGCCAGTCAGCCAGAGCTACTCATGCCCAAGGATAGTGGTGACAAAAGACCTGTACCAAGTGAACTCAAAGGCTTGCTTAGCTCCAAGCATGAACTCCTGGCTTATGTGTAAGATGCCAGTGTGTTACGTAAGATACCAGTGTTTATGCAAGATACCGGTGTGTTATGTAAGATACCAGTGTGTTATGTAAGATACCAGTGTGTTATGTAATATACCAGTGTGTTATGTAAGATACTTACTTACTTACTTACTTAGTCGCTCCTCTTCTACCTTGGGGTGTAGAGGTTTGCCAGAGAGATCGCCAGACATCTCTATCAGCAGTTTTCTTTCTGGCTTTGTTCCATTCCAGTCCTCTGTCAGTTAGGGACTGTCGGATGTTGTCTTCCCAGCGCACCCTGGGTCGTCCCGGAGGTCTGGTTCCCTGGTTCTTAGCCTCCCATGCTTGCCATGGTGGCCGATTTTCTCCCATTCTGCATACATGTCCAAACCATTGTAACTGTGACTGATCTACTCAGGTTAGTAAGGGCTGGGTATCAAGATCTTGACTTATTGTCTGATTGCGGACTTTGTCCCTTCTTGTCACTTGGACCACCTTTCTCAGGTATCTCATTTCCGAGGCCTGCAGCTGGCTTCTGTGAGCTGTTGTCATTGCCCATGACTCACACCCATAGGTCAGGACTGGTACATAGGTAGAGCGGTAAACAGCCATTTTCGTCCTCTTGCCAATTTCTCTTTTGCTAAGAAACCCTCGGTTTATGGCCTGGAAGAGTCTCCCAGCAGCTGCTTTTCGTGTAGCCAGCTCAGTCTTAATGCCTCCGTTTTGGTCTAGTACAACTCCAAGGTATTTGAAATGGTTAACCTGCTCCAATGCATACTGTCCCATCATGATCTGGTGTTTCTTCTCCTCTCTTGAGATCACCATGGTTTTCGTTTTGGAGATACTGATGGTCATCCCTTTCTTTTCAAGCTCTTCCTTCCAGACAAGTAAGTTGGACTGAAGGTGTGCCTCTGATTTAGCTATCAGGGCCACATCGTCTGCAAAAGCCAGCTCTGATATACAGATTGGTCTCATCTTCCAGTACCCTACAAAGTACTTCTTGTTATGTAAGATACCGGTGTGTTATGTAAGATACCTGTGTGTTATGTAAGATACCAGTGTGTTATGTAAGATACCGGTGTGTTATGTAAGATACCAGTGCGTTATGTAAGATACCAATGTGTTATGTATCAGTTAAAGGTTAAAGGCGAGAGGATCGACTTCATTGCACCAGGTTTTTGTCCCATATGGCTCAATATCCTTCCACAGAGCAGCTAGTATCTGTCAAGAGCATCACACAGAGCATGAACTCTGTAGCTCCAGCGATGATCCCCAGGGATTTCCGTAAAAATTGCACTCATAAACTGAACGACGCAGCCCTGAAACATGCCCATGACCTTCAGAGCGCAAGGCAAACAGCTTGCCACTTCATCACGTAGACCCTCAGTAAGACTAAGTAAAACAGACTTATTTCTAGCATCCAGATGTGGTGTCAAGATTCAGCTGTGTGACCCAGACCTAGCTTAGGTTATCTGTTAATTCCTCGGAGCCTGTGAATCTTATCACATTCACTGGCCTGTGGGGGTTTGCCATTCTGAGTCTGCTGATGCATGAACCTGATACATGTACACTGTATAGATGTGTGTGTGCTCGTGCCTGTGTGCGCACACACACACACAAGTATGTCACCAGGGAAATTTAAAAAATGACACAACAGTTATGCATATTTATATTGCAGATCTTTACTTGAAACCAATAATAAGCCATACCTTGTGAACACCATGAGGGTTCCAGCACTCCAGACAGTCAGCTTGTTTTCAAACAGCATTGACACAAATGCTGAATGTACAAGGTAGGTGTATCACACAACAAATGTGTATATTTTAGAAACATCTAGATTTATGTTTTATTAATGGGTGGCCTAGCATTTTCTCTGCATTACAGTATTAATTGTCTACACTATTTACATTTCTGAATGAAAAGCTGCATAATCTCATTAGGATTGTAGTACACAGGAGACAATATGCCACACCAACTGGTGAGAGGCATGTTGAACCCTATGATAACAATTTGAGGATAACATCTTCCCGTGTGGGTTCCGGGGCCCTATTACAGGGAAAACAAGAATAGACCCACTGCTTACCAAAAAGCATGTTGTAAAAGTCGACTAATTTGGAGCTTCCTTCGAAGTCGGAGTGCATCTGCCTGAGAGGCAAGGAACCATCAGTCTGCATACAAATGAGTCAGATCTGTAAAATGGATGCACACACAACACTCAGGTTCTGGAACAGGACTGCCGACCAGAAGTGAATGAACAACCAGAACTTTCGGCAAGAGTTTATAGCTGGTGAACGTGGCGAATAAGAAGAAAAAGTGTGAGGATAACATACAAATCTGGATGAACTGCAGTTTAAGAATGTACAATCAGAACAAGAGATTGATTGTGGAAGCAACATTGCAGCCAGCCTTTGTAGTATGTTATTTAGTTGTTTACATCTTATTGATGTAAGAGCTGATGTTCCAAGCCTCACAATTATTGATAGAAGTATCAAAAGAAAAAGCAGTCTTACAAGTTTGTCAACAAATTATCCTCATTACACATCTAACCATTCAGTCCATAAGTGCTCAGTAAATCCTCCAGTGTATAGTGGCTGATGACACCAGTCCTGTATTAGTTTCTTATTCTTCTTTGGCTACTGCTTTTGTCTTGCCACATCCCTTTTAACATTCTGTTCTTGCAGTTGGGTCATGGTTGCAGATTCACAGACATCACCTGGTTCTCACAAATGTCTAACTTCTCCTACAGCTTTCAGTATATCAGCATGGTCCATTGCACATCCACCCACCACGGACGGTATCCGTGCCTGCAAGTCTCTCAGCTTGCTCATTTCCTTGCACGCCTGTGTGCCCTGGATCAAATATGAAACTGATATGTGTCAATCCCGACTGCCTCAGAAACTCCAACCATTTCTATTTTCCTGAGCCTTCTCACTGAGTCACAGAAAAAACATGCACGAATAAAAGGTTTACGTCTCCAGCAGTGTAATTGCTTTGGTCACTAGTCAGACTATGGTTCAAAAGCACCCAAATCGTGCTTCACAGTTCTAACTCCTGCCTGAGCCGTAAACGCCCTTGAGCTTCTCACGTGGTGAAGCACAGACTTATCTCTGTAAACGACACTGTCCCCCTCTAGAGAATTCTCACAAATCAAAGCCTGCTCTTCAGCCTCCACAGCAGCGGACTTTGTTGTCTGCATTTTCTGTCTAGTCAAGCAAACAGAAAAGGTTGTGCAGCACTCTGTTGGCACTTGTACCCATTCCTCACCTCATTCTATGTCCTCAAGATAGCACACCTGCTGAAAAATGTACTCTGCCTGATCTTTCTACAATTTTCCTCTTTTTAGCCTGCTGCCCTTTTCTTCTTAATTTTATTATACAGCAGGTCTCGTATCTCTGCGTTAACTCTGAGGTAGGTTTGTTCTCGGCAGATTTATATTCTGTCCACCCTGGTTGGAAAATCGAGAAGGTAATGCATCGCTCTACATGCTGTGTCTCTTGTACACCCAAATATAATAGACATAGTCTCATTCTTTATCCTTTCCATTCTCTCAAACTGCTTATGGCTGATAGTTGGGATTGCCATAGTATACTCAAAAACGGAAACGATCAGACCCGGATATAAAAGACATAAATTATGCTGCTCACAGTTTGCTGCAACCATCACTTTCGTCACAGCCAAGCACCTGGTCTGTATGCTCATTATGAGCCAGGCTACAATCAAATCATCTCCCCAGTTGTGGCACAATCAGATTATCGCAGTGTGAGGAAAACTTAAAAGCTGTCCTTCAGGGATTATGTGGAGGCAGTTACGACAGAATGCCAAAAAGGATTCAGTCCGCTCAAGAATATGGCAGCAGTTGACATGGAATGCTTACTGTATCAAAGAGTTATCTTATGAAACTTGAACTCATACAGAATGGAGTTTTGCAGGTAATTCTAGAGATGCCCTGGTGGTATGTATGTAATATAAGCCTCCACTGTTGACTGTTACAGATAGGCTCATTCGCTGCAAGTAAATCATTTCTCAGAGTAGCTGCAGACAGGAAGTACCTCTGCATGAAGCCCTAGGTAGAACTAAGGGTCACTTACTGAAAAGATGAAGGTCTTGGATGGCGCAAGCTGAAGACACAATTTGACATGTGTTGATAATACTGGGCGAGTAGAAGAGTGGGTCGGAAGGTCCAAGCAACAATCAGACATGTGTAGACTTCTAACCACACTGAGCCATGAGTGCAGGGACTGGCTAGTGGGTACTGTAGAATCAGAAGGAGGTCAGCACTTGATTCATGACAAGGTGATGTGATTATCTATACAGACAGCTCTGTGATGAGAGGCAGACAAAGAGCACGTGGGTTCGTAGCAAAAGTGAATGGACGTTGCTTAGTGCAGCAAAGTATAGTAAATGTTACCACAGCATCTAGTTTAAGGGTGTAGGTGGTCACTGTAGCTTTCTACTGTCTTGAAAACCAGCTGTGCACATATTGCAGTTGTAACTGACTAGCAGAGCCTGTTGAGAAAGATGGAGACATGTTTGCTCCATACCTATTTGTTCGTAAGCTCCAGCAGAAAGTTATAGTTCTTCAGTTTGGACTTTGTGCCAGGGCCTGAGTTTTGCATGTACATCCATTTCCCTGGCTTATTTGTGCGCAGTTGGTTGTTCCTTGCCACTTGGGCAGATGCATTTTGACTTTGAAGGAAGTCCCCAATTAGTTGACTCCTACAACATGCATGTTGGGCCAGAAGGACAAGCATCGCTTCAGAGGTCCTGGGTAGCTAGCGTCCTTTGTATATTTTCTCCAGGTATGCCAGTGTTTTGGGAAATAAACAGGCACATAGACTGGCTGGTTCTGCACCACTTGGTGGTGAATTTATGCAGGACAAGCTAGATGTTTTGGGGTGAGTGAACAGTGCCCAGGCACAATCAGATAATCACAGTCTCAGGAAAATGACGCTGTGAGAAGTTACCAGGGGATCTGGCCGACCCTAAACACTTAAGGGACGGGTGAGAATGGATATACAATCAGACTGTTACCGGTACTATGTGATTTGAAACTCTGCACTTGTTTCTGAAGATGGGGAGAGAGCACTTATGGGAGTGTTCCAACTGCTGTGATGTGGATTCTTGATTCAACATTAGATCTTGTTGAAAAAGAGATAACAGAAAGTAGTTCCGTGAAATGGTTTTTTACTGTAAATATTCATGTTAATATAATTGATTTGAAGTTAAAATCCTAAGAAAATATAGAAATGCTGATAAAAATTTGTTTCTAATGAACTTAATGCTAGATTGATCTGTGATGGATGGCTAGAGATCAAGTTCCCAGCTGCAGATACTGCAGAGTTGATCGTGTCCAGTGTGATTCAGTTACGCTCCACATGGCAAAGCTTGCTGAAAGTTCGACTACAAGGTAACCACCATATACTTTTTTTAGTCATTGTTGCCTGATTAGAGCTTTGTTCATTTTTTCACTTTTATGAACATCAAGAGCTGTTGTGTAGTGGCTAGAAGCTCACCTGCAGGTCAGAAGGTTGTGAGTTCAGGTCCTGGCGGAGCCTGACTTTTTAAAAAAATGGCCTTGCCTTTCAGGTTGACCCAGTCTTGAGTGGGTTACCAGGTATAGTCCTGGGAAGTAAAGGTGGCTGGTGTGATGTTGACCACATCACCCACCCAGTTCCAGTCAGTCTATAAAATATAGGTCTAGCCCTATATATTCATTGTAAGCCTGAAGGCATGGAGAAAGGGTCCTTTAATGTTTTTGTTTTTACTTTTTGGTATGAAAATCTAAAATAAATAAAAAAGTCAACTGGAAAACTCAATGAAGAGAAAGGTACAGACAAAAAGCAAATGTTTTAACCAAAGTTCTTAACAGAGAGCAGTACAACAGAAATTAAATGCTGTTGGGGTGAAGTTGTAGGCCACACTATATGAGTTTGGCTGACCATTTCCTACCTTGTCATTATTCCTTCCTAGAACATTCTAGAAATGATCCAGTACTCATTTTTATTCAGACTGGGCTGACTCCAGAACCAAACTGGTTTGGGAAAAAAATATTTTCTTCTTCTGAGGATCATATGCCGATGACTCATCTTGGCAGGCATGTGAACTACAATGTCACTGTCTCTCCTAAGACACTAAAATAGTCCTGGAAAAGCATCCTTGGAATAAGCTAAATGAGCTACAGCTTGTAAAGTTAAGCTTAAAGACTCTTTCCCACACCTTCACTCCTATATGGCATACGGGGCTAGACCTCTGTTGTATAGACCAGTCAGCACTCAGTGGGTGATGTGGTCGACATCTCGCCGGCCACCTTTATTTTCCAGGACTACATCTGGCACCCACTTAAGTCTGGGTCGACCTGGGAGCCAAGGTCGTGTTTGAAAAAGTCTGGCTCTGTCTGACCCAAACTGATGACCTTCTGATACGCAAGGGAGCGTCTAGATGCTGCACCATGGTAGAAGTTACAGCCTAGGGCCTCACAATCTTTAAGGGCCTAAACAAAATTTTTTTCTGTTATAGTATTTACCCAGAAATGTTTTCACCTATAAGTTGGAGACTTTTATGGGACTTGAAATAATTTATGTGATTTTGCAAACAAAATTAACAAAATTAAACAACAAAATATTGCTACTGTCCATAAATTAGTTTATATATTTTATAATGTTCTGAGATTAGCTAGTGTTATTCAAAATGATGGGGGGGGGGGGGGAGGTGAAGGGGAGTGGGGGTGGTCTCAGGGCTTTATGTAGCTTAGAGCCTCATCATGTTTTAATCTGACCCTGAGTGTAGGGTTCAGTTTGTGTATCTGTGTGAGTGTGTGCATGCATGCGTTTGTGTGTCTGCTTTCATGTTTGTGCATGCGTGTGCGTGTCTGTGTGTATGCATGTGCTTTTGTGTGTGTATGTGTTTATGTGTGTGTGCATGTGTGTTTGTGTGTGTGCATGCATGTGTGTTTCTGTGTGTGCATGCATGTGTGTGCATTTGTGTGTATGCCTGCATATGCATGCATTTGTGTGTGTGTGTGTCTCTCTCTTTCTCTCTCTCTCTCTCTCTCTCTCTCTCTCTCTCTCTCTCTCTCTCTCTCTCTCTCTCTCTCTCTCTCTCTCTCTCTCTCTCTCTCTCTCTCTCTCTCTCTCGCGCTGAGAAAACTAAAGATTTATTATTTTGATGGAAGACTTCATGACGGAGAGACTGATTTGTTATCTTTATAAAAACTTTTCCACAGACACATTTGAAGGAATTGAAGATGACCACAGGGTGAGCCCTCGAGCACAGCAGCTTGAGCGGCTGCTGGCCAGCAAACTGACCGAGTTCCTCAACTCTGATGTTCTCTATTCACTGAGGAGGGTTCATGCTGCAGAAATGCAGAGGATGTATATTGGCCCTGGGAAAGGTGAGAGTTAATGGCTTCATTTGTGAAACAGTTTGACTTGTAATAGGTGCTGTCATAGTTTGATTTGTTGTACATAATGTAATAATTTGACTTGTAAATTGTGTGCTAGTTTGACTTGTAGTTTGTGTGCTAGTTTGACTTGTAGTTTGTATGATAGTTTGACTTGTAGTAATTATATAATAATTTGACTTTTATCAGATTATGTAGTTTGGCTTGTAGGTAGTTTAGTAGTTTGCCTCATAGGTTGTGTAACGGTTAACTTGTGGCAGATAATATAATAGTTTGACCTGTAGGTAGTGTAATACTTTGACTTGTAGTAGACTGTGAATTTTTTGACTTGCAGTATGTTGTGTAATGGTTAGACTTGTAGTAGATAATGTAATAGGTGAACTTGTAGTAGATAATGTAATAGTTGAACTTGTAGCAGGTAATGGTATAGTTAGACTTGTAGTAGACAATGCAGTAGGTGAACTTGTAGTAGGTAAAGTAATAGTTAGACTTGTAGTAGGTAATGAAATAGTTAGACATGTAGTAGGTAAAGTAATAGTTAGACTTGTAGTAGGTAATGAAATAGTTAGACATGTAGTAGGTAAAGTAATAGTTAGACTTGTAGTAGGTAATGAAATAGTTAGACATGTAGTAGTTAATGTAATAGGTGAACTTGTAGTAGATAATGTATTAGGTGAACTTGTAGTAGGTAATATAATAGTTAGACTTGTAGTAGATAATATAACAGGTGAACTTGTAGTAGGTAATATAATAGTTAGACTTGTAGTGGATAATATAACAGGTGAACTTGTAGTAGGTAATGTAATAGGTGAACTTGTAGTAGTAATTAGACTTGTTGTAATATGCGTAATGATTAGAAATGTAGTAATTTGTATAATGATTAGATGTGTATTAATCTATGTAATGACTGCATGTGTAGTAGTTTTGTAATGATTAGATGTGTATTAATATGTGTATATGACTGCATGTAATGTAGTTTTGTAATGGTTAGACTTGTGGTAATTTGTGTAATGATTGCATGTGTAGTCGTTTTGTAATGGTTAAACTTGTGGTAATTAGTGTAATGACTGCTTGTGTAGAAGTTTGTGCAGTGATTAGGCTTGTAGTAGTTTGTGTAGTTATTAGATACTTGTGGTAGTTTATATAATGCTTAGATTTATGGTAGTTTGTCTAATTATTAGACTTGTATTAGTTTATTAAGAAATTATATTTGTAGTAGTTTGTGTATTAATGATACTTTTAATAGTTTGTGTAGTAATTAGATTTGTTGTAGTTTGTGTGGTAATGAGATTTGTAGTAGTTTGGGTTGTAATTAGACTTGTAGTAGTTTGTGTAATGATTAGACTTGTAGTATTTTATGTAATTATTAGACTTGTAATTTGAGTAGTAATTAGACTTGTAGCAATTTGTGTAATGGTTAGACTTGTAGTAGTTTGTTTAGTAATTAGACTTGTAGCAGTTTGTGTAATGCTTAGATTTGTAGTAGTTTGTTTGGTAATTAGATTTGTAGCAGTTTGTGTCATGATTATATTTATAGTATTTTATGTAATGATTAGACTCGTAGTAGTGTGTACAATGGTTAGCTTATACTAGTTTTATAACAGTAAGACGTGTAGTAGTTTGTATAATACTTTAGCCTGCAGTTATGTATGTCTTGTTTTCTGTTTGTTTAGATACTGGCAATATACCAATGATGAGTAGACTTATCAGAGGGGACACTGAAGGCAAAGAACACCCAGTCAAAGGTGGCGTCCAGGTCACAGATTACTTGACATTCAACTGGTGAGATAAAGGGTGTCTAATTTCTTTTATTGTCTTGGTTTTTTTTTCTCTCTCTTTGTGTTGGTCCGTCTCTCTGTCTTTTCTTCTTTCTTTATCTCTTCTTCTTCTTTGTATTCACCAGCTGTAAACTCCTATGTAAAGTGTCAGTGTCTGTAGCTTAAGGTTTATGAACACAGTTTCACAATTCTGGTGTTACAGAATTCAAAGTCAGCTTCAGGCATATAGGCAATAGGCAGCTTTGTGTTAATTTAGGCAATAGTATAGGAATCTGACTTGTTCAACAAGCAGAAGACAGAGGAAGATGGCGGGTTTTGTGTGCTTATGCTTACATCGATACGCCTACACGACCCTAATGGGTCAGGGGTTATGTTGTGCTATGATATAGGAGTGCAGTCATTCAAAAATCAGTAGCAAACTAATGAATGTTTGTGAACAAAGAAGATCCACAAACAATACTTTGCACAGTTTATTGTCTGGCATATTTGGCTGCATTTCATCAGGTGTATACTGCAGTAACATTTGATTAAAATATAGCAACTAGATTAATCCTTCTTAATGAAAAAAATTTTTAATGTGATTTTTTTAAAACATCACTTCCTACACATACTACGAAATTTCTTCTTCTTCTTCAGCATTCCGAGCCCTTGAGGTTCATTGTTGCAGATATCACCCAGCTCCATTCATCTCTCTGGTTGGCCTTTTATTTACATTTAGTGACACCAAATGTTTGCAGGTCTGTCTGGACATTATCTCTCCATCGTCTTCTTGGTGTCCTTGTTGTCTAGGACCATTCATCTCCCTCGTGTATACAGTTTTTACTTCTCTGTCATCTCACATTCTTTCAATGTGCCCCAACCATTTCAGTCTGTAAGCTCTCATGATGCCAGTGATCAAAGGTGATTTAAACAGATTATGAATTTCGTTGTTGCTTCTCACTCTACATTCCCCGCTGTTTGTATCTTTGATGAGTCTAAAGATTCGTTGTAAGACTTTGTTTTTGAAAAGCTGTAATAAGGATTCATTTCTTTTAGTTTTGCTCCAAGTTTCAGAGCCATATTTATACTGCGAAATATGCCAGGCAATAAATTGTTTAATCTATTGTTTGCACCTGTGCAGTCATTTGTTGTGTTTTCTTTATTCAAATTCTCAACAGGGAAACATTGCTTTGGTTTACTGAATGTTGAATTAAAAATCAATATCGCAGCACTAAGGACACTCCCATAAGCGCTCCCTCCCCATCTTCAGCAGCAAGCGAAGAGGTCCAATTCCGATGGTATCAGTAACTGTCTGATTGTATATCCGTCTCGCCCTTCCCTTGAGTTTTGAGCGTCGGCCAGATCCCCTGGTAACCCCACAGCAACTTTCTCCTCAGACTATAATGATCTGTTTGTGCCTTTGCACTGTTCACTCGCTTCTAAAGGGCCTTCACAACATCTAGCTGGTCATAGATCAGTTCACCACAAAGTTGTGCAGAAATGGTCAAATTCCAGCCCAGTTCACAGCCTCTGTCATTTTAACTCATTCAGTACCAGAATACTTTGCATCTTTTTATTGATAACTGTGTACATGGTATACATTCCTTAATGCCATGCATCATATTTTTTAAATTATAATAATACATTCTATTTCAGTTGGTCCCCCCCCCCTTCCTTGTTCTACACGATGCTCTGTTATTTTAACTTATTAACTCTTTTGGTCCCAAGCAGTTGTTACTTTAACTCTCTATATCCCAAGGAGCTGAGCTTTAAAGCAATAAATACTTAGGTATGATAACAATATAACAGAAACACTGTGAAACAGATGCAATTAAACTAATAATTCAGATACAAAGAGTTAATTAAACGCCTGTCTGCAATGGAAGACAGCTAGAGCATTGTATTATTTTATTAAACACTAAAAAACATATGATGCATTGGTTGGACTGGTTTAGTTTGGTTTAGGTTTGGCTTATACAACAGATCAACATCATGGCTCAAGGGTACTAACCTATAATTGCTGCGTGCTACTTCTAATTCAAGACTGACTTTGAAGAATCTCAGTGCAGTGCACAAACTCCATATCATCAGTGAGTCTACTCTTTTTGATTTCCAACTGCCAAGGGATTTTTGCAGCAGCACACACGGGCATCTGATCTTACTACCCAGAGACCAGGGGAAATTATTAGAAGTCCACTTGAAAAAATCCCAGTGTTCCCAGGGGCCTGAACCCGGGACCTCCAGCACTCAATGTGGAAGCCATGCCTCGAGATCACTCAGTCCCCATTTGTTTGGACTGAAAGTGTTGAGGCCTAAAGATTGTTGGTTACATGAAAGTAGACCTTCCCTAGGATATAATGTGTTTGAGACCAAAAGAGTTGATGAGATTTCTTGTTTGTTGACCAGCCTGCTGGATGAGGAGTCGGCCAGTGTGTGGGGTGAGTTCACTGTGGGCATGCAGCGACACTGGAAGTGCCCAGACTGCGGCCGCTCTATGATCGTTTCAGTGCTGGAGAGGCTGCAGCATCAGGCTGTGTGTATTTCAGAGGAAGGACAAGGTACATGATTTGTTTGTTTTGTCCCTCTGGGCTGCTACTTGAAGCTTTGTTGCTCCTGTGATTTTATGAGTCACACTTTGGATAATAAACCAACAGGGTGAATTCTGTATACCCTGTTCAATCTACAAAGGAGTTCAGTTAATGCACTTGTAATGGCTACACCAATACTCTCCTGGTGGAACTTGCAGTATTGTGAGTAAGTAAGTTAATTAAAGGACCCTTGTTCATGCCTTCATGCATACTGGGCATTTAGGGCTAGACTTATAATTTATAGTCCAGGTTGCACCTAGTGGGTGATGTCATCATCATCATGCCAGCCACCTTTACCTCCCAGGACTGCACCTGGTACCCACTCAAGACTGGGTTGACCTTAGAGCTTTTCAACAACAACAACAAAGCCTGGTTCCATCAGGACCCAAATCCACAACCTTCCAACCTGCAGGCGAGCATCTAGTCGCTACACCACGGTTGCTCCCACTCATGTGAGGGTAAGAAAGAATAGATGTCTAGGCATTCACACATAGGCTTTGTCCTCTTCCTCTGTGGCTGATGAAGAGTTCCCATCAAAAGCCTGCCTGTCTTTTCCCCATGTATGTAGAAACCTGTCCAGATCCTCTGCTCACTTCCTGCTGAATCAGTCTCTCAAGATGTGGATGCACTGTTCACTTGATCCCAGAGAGCTTTCAGTGTGTCCACTTTATTGTACAGAAGCTCACCACCTAGAGGTGCAACAGCAGCCAGTATATCAGTATGTTTAATATCATGCACCCCAGAATGTTGTGGCAGAAAATTTATTTTATGCAGTTAAGTATTAACTGGCCAAAACTAATATGGTATATGTTTGTCAGTCCGTTGAGTTTTATTAGTTCCTACTTGCTGTATCTCACTAGCTTCCCAACTGTTTCATGTGTCCAGTCCTGTTGTTTTCAGGACCAGCAGTCATACACACAAACACACGCATTCCTTGGTTTAATGCACAGAAGCGTGGGAGCATCTGTCTGACAGTGGTTGCTTGTTTTACCCCAGTGACTGCCAACTTGTTGTATACACTCTTTTACCATTTTGCTTCCTAGACTAGCAGACATGTATGCAAATATGCTTGTGCCTCATTCTAATGGACAAAAGGGTAGGTACATCTGTCCAAAACTGGTGATTATCTGTAGTTACTGAAATAGGATCTGTTGTGGGCATCAACATTTGTATTATAAAAAGAATAATAATAATATTTTAAATCAAGCAGAGCATCCCCCATTTGACAATGTAAACTACACATACACTCTAAATATAAATGAAACTTTTTATTTTTATTTTATTACTGCTCCTTACAAAATGTTGCCATAACTGTGCCCACAGTGTATGTTTTAAACTTTAACTTGAAAAATGATAAATATACTTCTCCAGTTTCCATCCATTGCCTCTGATATTTGTTTTAGACTAAGCTCACCAGGGGGTCAGTGTTTTAAGAATTGACCTCAAATTTGAACTCACAACCATCCAGCCAGATGCAAGCATGTTAGCCACTGCAGTTCTGCAACTCCCAGCGAGCCATATGCAGTAGATAATAACTCCTTCTCAACTGGAGATTGGTAGTGAGCATACTTTTGATCTTTTCTCCAGGCAATGCCAGCATAGTGGGTAATGAACAGGCAGACAGATTGGCTGGATCTGCACCACTGTGTGGTAAATTGATACATGACAAGGCAGATGTGGGCAAGGCACTTTAGGAACAAGCAACAGAATCAGTAGAGAAACAACATTATTATTGCCTGGAGAGAATGAGGCACCTGGGTGTAACCAGAGAATCTGGCCGGTTCACTACACTCAGAGGAAAGGCGAGACGGACCTATAACCAGACTGTGACCGGTACCATCAGTATTGGAACTCTGTGCTGGCTGCTGAAGATGAGGATGGAGCACGCATGGGAATGCTCCGAGTGCTGTGATGTCAATTCTTGACTCTACTCAACTCTGGAGATTCGTCCTAGACTGCTGTAACTAACACTATCTCTGTAGTATAATTATTTCTGTTATTGTTTTCTTGTTGACAGGTTTAAAGAATCAAGAAGCTGAAGCCAGCAAGAAGGAACTGGATGCCAGCTTGAACCCTCATAGAAAAGCTTATTTCTGTTCTGACTGCAAGGAGAACTTCATGTTCACTACAATCGAAACATTGAAGCACAAAAAGTCCCATGTGACCTGACAGCACAACATTTGAGGTGCTGCCCAGGAACCTGCCATTACTAATAGTTTGGATGTTTAGTTATCACAGTTGATGTCACTGCACATTGGGCATTTCCATGCATGCTCAGTCCTCCGATGCAGCAGCCACTCCAAGGTACCTCTTGTTCCCACGAGGAGTTGGTCCATTTCAGTCTCAGAAGCAACATAGATCTGTTTCACCATGCTAGACTCCCTTGTCACACAGTTGTGTTAGTGTCAGAGATTCCTCATCCACTAACCTATTCCAT